TGATTAGAACGTTGGCGGTTTGTTTGCTGGCTGCCCTTGGGCATGATGCTTCCCATACTGAAGAGTGAAACAACTGAACACAAGGCAGTTATTAGTATAGAATAAATGTCAGTCAGTACAGCGACTCACTGTGAGAGAATGAGGTTTACTGTAGAGTAATGTGTGCTATTATTAGTTATCTGGGAAGGTTTTTCCACTGCAGTAAAATATCTTTCTATACTGTGTGAAAGACTTGTCTGTGATTCTATATCTGAGCTTTTTGTTTCTATTTCACTTTGTAAGATGAATCAGTCAGAAACTGTTCCTGACTATTGGCAGCAATAAATAATGACAAGTACTCCTGTGTATTTTAGTCTATTGTTAGGAACCTTGTTGACTTCACATTTTAAGGGGTGATAAGCAGCTTTTCTCATCAAAGGATAATTTGCATTGTAGTACCATCCACTGGCTGAGTCACTAATAAGTATCATCTTGTCATCCTTCCTCATCTTTGTTAGCTCGATATTCAGTGAAACTAAGGAAGAACCTGGAATAGTTGTTTAGTTTTGGAATACAATAAAACTACTTTTTAATACTCATTGGACTGTAAATGCAACAGAAATAACTTCTAACACACAGCAAAAAAAAACTAAACAAACAAACTTGGAAATACCATGCAAGGGATTTCCTTTCTGTCTTTCTTTTACCCATTTTTTCTGTTTGAGCAGTTTACTGATGTTCCCTTAATATAGCATATGCATAATTATTGGGTATTTTATTCACACCAGTTTAAGATTTGAGTAAAAAATGTTGTAAGATTTAGAGCTTTAATTTTACTCATGGTCTAGGGCTAAGGTTTTACGATTCACGTTGGAATTAGGGGGGTAAGAAGAGAAAAATAGAAACACAGAAAGAAAGGAAGAAGAAACACAAGGGTAAAAAAAAAAGATTTATGAAGTGGGGCAAATTCTTGCAACACCACAGTCGCTGGATGATCTGCTAAGAATATGCTTTAATGCAGGAACAAATAACAAGCTTATGTTTCAACTAGGGTGCCTTCCTCTCTTTTGTGCTCGCGTTTATTAACATTTTTGCCAACCTAGGACTGTCTTGTCAAGGAGGGGCCACTGGGGTGGTCAGCAAACTTGGTAGCGCCCCTGTGCAGAAGAACAACACAAGACATTATTTAGAATCAGAATCAGAATGGGTTTTATTGCCAAATGTTGAGCAGGTTTACAACATTAGGATATTGCTGCATGAGATCATGAGCCTTCCCAGTAACTATGTTAATGTGCCATGTGTGTAAATCTGTTCTTTTTTAAATGGCGCATTGCAACATTCAGGCATTAATCTAACACACTAACATGGATTTATCAACGGCTGTATTTCAGACATTTCAAGTTTCAAGACGTGAGTCTAACCATGTATGGTCATCTTGATGCATGCTCTATCATCCAGGTAAGTAAATCTCCGAAAGTTGATTCTGTTCATCTGGATGTAGCGTTTTCTGTGGGAGAAACGTTTTTCCTGTGCAAGGCTCCAGATGCCTTCATTGTGAAGCAACTCCAGTCCGCCGACAGGTCTCGCACGCAACAGCTGCTGCTCCGACGTGCTAAGGTCACTAGCTGGGTTACGCCATGTCGGACGTTCTGTGAGGCGCTTTTGTGATATTTAATTGATTTTTATTTCTCGCCGATATCTGATCCAGTAATTTAGGTCAGGATCGGACCGATACTGGATACTGTATATAGGATCAGCCCATCTTTCACCCAGACTGCAGGAAAGCCCCCCCAATCACTAGATCATACCAGAATGAAGACAGGTCTGAATTTGCTCATTGTGTTTCTGAAAGACGTTTTTGACTTTTATAAAATCATTGAAATGCACGACAGAAACAATCCCATTTTTAACAAAAGTACTGCATTAACTGCTTATGATCAGATGTTTGAGGCCTCAGACATAATGATCATGTCTGGAGAGATGTTTTTACAATGTACTGTGGGAACTTTAGCCGTTTACCCAGGTCAGCCTGTAGCTGCCAATCAGAGGCTGTGTTGAGGAGGCCAATTGTACAGACTAGGATTCAAGAATACGCTGAACCAGCACACTGAAGACAGCATAGATGGTTTGCACTAGATCTTCATATGTATTTTTGTAAGTACGACAGAGAGAGTATGACAGAGATATGCTAATTGTTGGATGAATAATGATCCACACAGTCGATGTTCCCCATGATTTTAGATAACAAATGGTTGTCTGTCTCTGTGTTAGCCCTCCGACAGACCTGTACTCCGCTTTTCACCCTGTGACAGGCTTCAGCCTCCCACCGGTGACCTTGAATTGGATAAGCGGAAGAAGATGGATGGATGCCATGTTTTTTGTACTACAAATCAAACATTAAATAACAGTCATCTCATGATTTTCTTCAATATAGATACACCATAAATAATAGTAATAATAATAACACACACAAAGTTAAAAAGTAGCACTTTTTGAAGGAAAATTCCACAAGAGACTCGTGTCTAAATAATGTACCAAATTACTGTAATCATAAACCACCTACACAGAAAATAGTACACCCACCACAGCACAGCAAACTAACCTGTTTATTCAGCACTGAACCGGTTTTCCTGCAACCTCGGAATATCACAAGCAACTATAAAGCTCAGTTGTTTTGCAGGGTGTTTAACAAAAGGGAAAAAAAACATAACTGCATATCATACAGATCAAATATCTGATTTACAAAATGAGCAACTGATGTGTAATATTTAACTTTACAGTTTATTTAATGCTCTTGAGCAGTCCTTACCTTTAAATACAACCTGTCTTGTTCCTCTCCTGTTACATGGAGTAGAAGGTAGCCGAGAGATATTTGTGCAGAAATGTGGGAAGTAAAAAGTTGCCAGAAAAAGAAATGCTCAAGTAAAGTATAGATACCTGGAAATTCTGCTTAAGTACAGTAATGGAGTATTTGCCCTTTGTTACTTCCCACCTCTGGCTTTGGCATCTCTACGGGCGGTATTCCGGCACGGACAGTGAGAAATACATGTTGATTTGTTTTACTTGAGCTTGTTGGTCTGTATGTATGAATTTGCTGGAAAGTGTTGCAAAGGCTTTTTAAAATTGTATTTTATTTTCACGAGTTCATCAAAAGCTTATTGACAAAGAATGTTTCATTTGAGTGGAGGGAAAACATTTGAGTGAAGGACATTTTCCTTCAAAAAATATTGTGGATTGTTTTATAAGTTTAATAAAATATGAATTATTTTCATCAAACTCTTGAATTTGGATATCATTTCCAAAAATTCACTAATTCAGATATTTCCCACCAGAAGTGACGCATCAAAACTTCTAGATGTGATCGACTAAAGTCTCCCAACATGGGTTAGTTTACCTGCCCTTTCTTAGACCAGCACTAAGCTCTTAATTGCATTGCATCCTGGCTCCATTTAAGTCTCTGAGGCTCTTAAATTGCTCTTAAAGTGCCCTTTGTGCAACACAAACATGTAATTTCTGTCTGTCAAGACACCAGCATTAATGAAATGTGTCAGTCAGTGTAATGATTCATTATGACAGAATAACAAGTACAGAATAATCATTATTACATGTTTGCATTCTGTTTCTATTTCACTCTGTAAGACAAGTCAGTCAGAAACTGTATAGGAATAAGAAGGAAGATAAGATTAATTGATAGCTGTATTTACAGACATTTCACTTTTATTTGTTACACATTCAATAGAGCAAAGTCCCTCACTCTGTGCACACTTCTGTGAAAAAGAAGCTCGGTTCAGTTCATTTGTGCTCTGTTTTATGAAAATCCCAGTATTATTCTGGGACCTGAAGCACACAGTGTTGCAGACACGTGAATTCTATAATTTGTATGAATATAGTCCAGACATTCATTTTCCTCCCTTTGTTAGTACTTTTTTTCTTTTTTGAGGTGACAGGGATTAGATATGGCACTTCTTACAGGTGACTCTTATTACCGGTTAAGATGTTATTTTTAAAGTTGAACTTCTTTTGTTATAAGTAAAAAACAGCGTTAATTCTGCAACAGTGTGAACAAAGCCAATTAATAATGCTGTCAATAAATATGCAGTAAAACATCCATCTATCCATTCGCTTCCGCTTATCCTTTTCAGGGTCGCGGGGGGCGCTGGAGCCTATCGCAGCTGTAAGAGGTGGGGTTCACCCTGGACAGAGGCAGGGCTAACACATAGACATAGACAACCATTCACACATTCACTCCCGCATTCACACCTATGGGCAATTTAGAGTTTCCAGTTAACCTATCTCCACTAAGTGGATGTCTTTGGACTGTGGGAGGAAGCCAGAGTTCCTGGAGAGAACCCACACAAACACGGGGAGAACATGCAAACTCCACACAGAAAAACCTCTGCCTGCAGTAAAACATAATAGTATAAATGAAAATACAATCAGAGAATCAGAAAGGGTTTTATTGCCAAATGTTGAGCAGGTTTACAACATTAGGAAATTGCTGCGGTGCTTCAGTGCAAACATACTGTCATAAATTACGCTTAAATAGACATGAAAAAATAAAAATAAGAATAAGAATTAAAAGTGCTACGTAGAAAGATATATACATGAGTGCAGGTGGTGATCAGTGCCAAACATGGAATGATGCAGTGAACACAGCGTAGGGTCATGTGTTAGTGGTGGGAACAGTCGTACGGTTATTGTTCATGTGTCCAACAGCAGAGGGGAAGAAACTGTTCTTATGGCGAGAGGTTCTGGTGCGAATGGACCGGAGCCTCCTGCCTGAGGGGAGCAGGTCAAACAGACTGTGTCCAGGGTGAGAAGGGTCAGCTGAGATCCGAGCTGCATGCCCCAGTGTCCTGGAGGTGTACAGGTCCTGCAGAGATGGGAGTCTGCAGCCAATCACCTTCTCAGCAGAGCGCACAACACGCTGCAGTCTCTGTTTGTCACTGATAGTGGCTCCAGCGTACCACACGGTGATGGAGGAGGTGAGGATGGACTCGATGATTGCAGTGTAGAATGGACTACTTGCACTAGGGCATGTGACGTATTTCCGTTTCCAAATACTACCGCTTGGGCGTTTCCGGTATGTTTGTTTATCTATCGGTAGCTATGCTAATGTCCCTTCAGAATGAGTATAAAAAGGAAAGTATTTAAAACAGAACATTTTCAAAAACAGGAGAAGAAATACTCCGAGCATTGCTGTGTCTTATTTTGTTCGGCTTCAGCCAAATTTAACGGCATACTAAGTTTTCATGGCTTTCCGACCCATTCCGACTTGAGAAGACAATGGCTGGTAAACATACGCCGGGATCATTTCACGATTACCTCTCACACCAGGCTCTGCTGCAGACACTTTGCCAGTGATCAACTCATAGAGCCAACAACCCTCGATGGTCGAAGGCGGCTTATTAAAGGTGCTGTACCAACACTTTTTGAGTGGAATGGCTATAAAGTTGAACCACCGCGGCGTAGTGTTTGGGAGAGAACGGAGCGACGCCCTGAACTAGTTCGTCTTACAAGAGATCATGACTACTGCTCAGTCCCCGAGCCGTCTGCATTGGACATATCTGCATCAGCTGCAGAAGACCTGTTCAAAGACGTGGAGACTCTGAGGAAGGAAATACAGGAGTTACGTGTCCAGCGAGAATTTGGGTTACAGCGTTTTGCTGGCTCCAACACTGACATCCGATTCTATACCAGGTACACCTAAGTTCTATTCAAGCTAACTGTTTAAAATATACCAAGGTCACCATCAGTTAAATTTCAAGTGTTTCCAGTCTGTTACGTTTCGGTGTTGTCAGTGTGTTGTTTTTGGCGTGACTGTTATGCGTTTCCTGTTTTACTTTGAAAGTCTGTGTTATCTTAGTGTTTCCAGTTTACGTTTCCTGTCTCGTCAGTTCTGAGTTGCCCCAGCTGTGTTTCCCTCTTGTTGTCCATTTTCCTGATTGCTCCCTCTAGGTATTTAAACCCTGTGTTTCAGTGTGTCATGGTCGCGATCTCCCCCGTGTTGTAAATAGTTTGGTGTTTTGTTGTAAATAAATAGTTTGTTTTAAATAGCTGTAAATAGATTTGTTGATACTTTCGTTTTGGGATTTTGGTGGTGAGCTTTAGTGGGGGTTTTTTTTTTCTTTATTTTTACTTTTTTCGTGTTGCACTCCGGTTGCCTAGGCCGGGGTGTAACAAGTCTTAATGAAACACAATAGAAATTTACTTTTTCTCTGCTGACTGTATGTTTCATGTAGATGCTTTAGTATTTAAACGATATCCTAATGCTACAGATAAAATACAACACCAAATAGACTCTTAATCAGACTATTTTATACAGCATACCATTAGCATATTTGTCACAGTTTATTTTATGCCAATGTTGGATGTTAATTAATGATTGACACGATGTATGTCTCTCTCGTGAATAGATTTCCAAGCTATGCTCATTTGATGGCATTTTGGTTTTTGATTGATCCTTGCAGCTATAAAATGATCCGGGTTTCAAGAGCCAAGTCAGCTGCCAATCAGAACGAAGAAGTGTTGACACCCGCACGCACATCAACGGTAGGTTATGGGTTTGTTGGTAGTTAGAACTAGAGGTGTAATGTTATTGTATTTATGTACAATAACATTACATAATGTACAATAGCATACATACACAGGTGTATGTATGCTAGACTCAGTATCCTACATACATACACCTGTGTACTACAGCACCTCATTGTTTACCCCATGGTACAGTATGGTATGCATAACCATTAAAAAAACATTTAGCCAAGAAAAGCATAATTTTACTAGTTCATAGCTTAAAGAGTAACATTTTCCCTTTTGTTTTCACCTTCCAGAGGCAGCTGCTACAGCCAATTGACGAGTTTTTTCCTTTTCCTGGTTTTCCTGTCAGTTGGTTTGAAGGAGCGGGACCTGCACACCGATTTAACATACACCAGTCCACAGTTAGCCGCATTATTGCAACATGGATTTCTTAGCTGACAATACTTAATTACAGAACTGGTACTTGAGTGCTGATAGTTGAGTTTAAGTTACTGATAATTCAAATTCATTGCAAATGTTGAATGTTAATACTTTTTAATTATACTACTATATTACTATTCAGATTCAACAAAATTGTTTATCAAAATTATAAAGTAAATCACTAAATCGTTTTAAAATCATAAGTGACATTGTGCTTTTGTAACATCAAAAATACCATTTGTCATTTTCTTCATTCAGTTGTGTTATTGTCTAAATGTATATCAGTATGCTAGGCATGGAGTTTTAAATACCATGTAAATAAGTTCTACACAAATTCAATGTTTTGTGTGTTTTTAAAAAATGAAATTGATGCCATTGCTTAAATAACAGTTTATTGATTTCACATAAAAGTAACATGTAACAACAAAATAATTCATGAAATACATTGCAAATAAAACATCAGTTATTTTGTTCCAGCAAGCCTGAAGGATCTGTTTTTCTTTTTGCTATGTTTTCACTGTTCATTTTTCCAAACACAGGTATCTTGGCATATATATGTAAAAAAAGAAATAGTCTGCCTTTCCTCTGGTTGCATTGTGCACATCTGTATCCATGTATATTGTTTGCACTAGGTAGTCCTCTTGTGCCCACACAACAAAGTCACACCACTACATCCCACTGATGAGCAGTTGAACAACAACTAAACTAAAAACTAAAAGGTGTAAAACAGTGGTGCATGTGTTGTTTTGTATGTATACCGAGCTTCATACTAACTGCACGCACACACCAATCTCTGCTCCGATTCCACTTTATTTCGTCTACTTCTCCATTTCCTCTGGAGCTTCTTGCTCGCGAGTGAATTACACACATTGCAGCAACACAGTGCCATCTAGTGGCTGATACAAACATAGGTCAACATGCTACATCTCCCTTCTTACAAAAAAAAAAACACAACTCAGGCTTGTAAAATTTCTAAGGCAACTGAAATTACAGGAATAACATCCTGAGCACATCCATTGATAACATAGCATTCGACTCAATACTGGCTATATCACAAACATAATAAACAGATGCATTTAGTGACATCATTGGAACAACAAACATATAAACAGCCCTTTTTTTTTTTTTTAGGGCAGCGATCCGCCTGCACCCTTTACAATATTACAGGTCCAAGACCTGTCTTGGTTTGGTAACACGCCCATAACGAGTCGTGTATCCAGGTGTTGTAATGTCTTTATCAGGGGGCTCCACAGGCGGGGGCTGAGATACCACAGGGCTGTTATCGTTGATGCCTGTTGGTTGAATGAACTCCTCACCTCCTACGCTGTTCCTGCTTCTGCGGAGGTGTCGGCGGTTACGCCGGTAAACTTGTCCTGTATCTGTGGTTATGTTGTAGCTTCTGGACGTGTCGGCACAACTTGTGACCACAGCTGGCTTCCAGGAACCGTCTTGTTGCCGCAACCGGACCGGTGTGCCAGGACATAGTTGAGGCAGAGGTCGGGCGGCTTTGTTGAAATAAGTCTGCTGGCGCTGCTGGCAGACCTCTCTCCTCTCACGCACTGTTTGCTGGCAAACTACTTGGGGTTCCAGCTGTTTTGGTGTTGCAGGGAGGATGGAGCGAAGTCTCCGGCTCATGAGTAGTTGTGCAGGCGACTTTAAGTTGTCCACGGGGGTGTTCCGGTATTCTAATAGGCTCAAGTAGGGATCCTTATGTTCCGCTTTGGCCTTGTCCAGAAGTTTCTTTGCTGTCTGGACTGTTTTCTCGGCTAGACCATTGCTCTGTGGGTAATGGGGACTAGTAGTGGTGTGGGTGAAACTCCATGACTTTGCGAACTGTTGAAACTTACTCGAAGCATAGCACGGACCGTTATCACTAATCACCGACTCTGGAATACCATGCCTAGCCATGGCTGACTTTAGTTTGTGGATCACTGCTTCTGCAGTGCAGCTGCGCAGTCTTTCCAACTCGAAGAATCTACTGTAGTAATCTACCACGATGATGTAGTCTTCCGAGTTCCAAGTGAACAGATCGGTGGCTATGACCTGCCACGGTCATTCTGGTATTGCATGTGACAACAGGGGTTCCTTGGGGTTAGCAGCTTGTCTCTCCTGGCATGTGCTGCAAGCTCCGACTGCTTCCTCAATCTGCTTTCCCATGCCTGGCCAAAACAGAAGGTCTCTGGCTCTGTTTTTGCCCTTTTCTATACCCATATGGCTGGAATGAATCCGCTCTATCATGTCCTTTCTGAGCCTTTTTGGGATGATCATTTTCTCTCCTTTAAACATGATCCCGTCTATCAGTGAGATCTCATCCCTGTGGTTCCAAAACTCCTGGATGTCAGGCGGACATTGAGACCGTTTATCAGGCCATCCACTCAATGTGGTCCGTCTCAGGCTGTTGAGCTGAGGATCCTGGGCTGTTTCGTTTCTTATCTCTGAGAGTCTCTGATCACTGACAGGCATGTTGCTGAGGACTGAGTGGATCTGCGCATCCATCCCGTCACATAGTGATTTGTCGTGAAACTCTATGGATTTCCGGGAGAGCGTGTCGGCTACCGGGATGTCTTTCCCTGGCTTGTGGATGATGCTGATGTCGTACTTTTGCAGCTGTATTATCATCCTCTGTAGCCGTGGTGGTGCTGATGCTAGTGTTTTTTTGAGTATGGACTCAAGTGGCTTGTGGTCCGACTCAATGGTCACATGTCGACCGTACATGTACTCGTGGAACCGCTTGCAACCAAAGAGAACAGCATACAGCTCTTTTTCTATTTGGGCATAGTTCTGCTCAGTGCTGTTAAGTGACTTGGATGCGTAGGCAACTGGCTTGCCGTCCTGCAGCATCACAGCACCGAGGCCACTTTTGGATGCATCGACCTGGAGTCGTAGCGCTTTCTTGGGGTCGAAGAAGGAGAGAACTGGGCCTGGTTCTTTAGTGATCAGCTCCTTCATTCGTTGAAAGGCTCTGTCATGGTTCTTGTCCCATACAAACTCACTGTCCTGCTTTAACAGCTGGCGGAGCGGTGCGTTTATCTCTGACAGGTGTGGGGCAAATCTTGCTAAATAATTAACCATCCCCAGCACTGTTTCCAATTCTGCCCTGTTCTGTGGGGGCGCCATGTCTTGGACTGCTTTTACTTTTTGTGGATCTGGTTTCAGTCCTTCGTGTGACAATGTGTGACCGAAGTAACTGACCTCTTTGACGCAGATGGTGCACTTGTCAGGGTTCAGTTTTACACCTCTCTCCCTGCTGCGCTGCAGCATGGCCCTCAGATTGTCGTCATGCTCCTGTTTGGTTTCTCCGAAGACCAGTACGTCATCCACAATGGCTTCCACGCCCCTCAGGCCCTCGTAGGTCTCGTCCACGCGTCGCTGGAACTCATCCTGGGCTGAGATTATGCCGAATGGCAACCTGAGGAAGCGGTACCTGCCAAACACAGTATTAAATGTGGTTAACAGAGATGATTCGTGGCTTAGCTTAATGGCCCAGTAGCCTGATCTGGCGTCCAAAACACTGAAATACTTGGCCCCAGCAAGTTTTGTGGTGACATCCTCCAAGGTGGGTAGAGGGTAATGGGGTCTTTGTATAGCCTTGTTGAGGGGTTTGGGGTCCAGACATACTCTGAGTCTGCCTGTCTTGGGTTTTTCCACGACAACAAGTGCATTCACCCAGTCCGTAGGATCTGTGACCTTGCATATGATTTGGTTCCTTTCCATGTTGTCGAGCTCGTCTTTGAGTCGGGCTCGCAGAGCAATGGGAATCCGATGAGGTGGGCTGACTGTGGGTGCAACGTCTGGATTTACATGGAAACTGCATTCACCAGGAAATTCTCCTATCCCTTTGAATACGTCTGCATATTCGTCTAGTATTGCCTGTGAACTGTTGGTTGTCTTGCCTCTTTCCTCCGTCACCGCCATCACGATCCTTACCAGGTTAAGGTCACGGCAAGCTTTCATTGCTAATACAGGTGGGGCGCTTGTGTTAACAACATGGAATTCCAACGTGCAGGTCTTGTCTTTGTGTTTGCATTTTAACTGGCATTTCCCTTCCACGCTGAGTGAGTGTCCCCATAATCTGTGAGCTTGTGTGTGACAGGCTTCAGTGTCACGTGTGGGAAGAGTGTCTGGAACATGTTGGCTGGAATTGTGTTTGCTTGCGCCCCAGTGTCAACTTTAAACCTCACTGTCTGTGGGGGGGAACCAAGCTGCATGTCTGCATATGCTTGCTCATCCTTTCTTCCTTCATTTTCTATGGTGATGCTATCAATGTAGAAACAGTCTTGGTCCTCATCTGTGTCCTTAGTTGTCGTTTCTATGTTCTCTCTCACAGTGTGTACTGATTTGAGGTGGGTTTTTGTCTGCGAAGGGAGTCTTGACCTGCATGCTCTTGCAAAATGGTTCATTTTCTTGCATTTTGCACATTGCTTCCCTTTTGCTGGGCAGATGTCTTTATTACTGTGTTGTCCGGCACAATAGCTGCACGTTTTTAGTGTTGCATTAGCGTGTTCTTTTGGTCTCACGCTTCTTGTTTGATATTCTTGTCTGTGCGATTTCCTGCCGATGGCGTGCACAGTTTCTTGGCCCCTGGAGTGACCCATAGTTTTTAGCTGCTGCTTTGCTAGCTCGTGTGATCGTGCTATATCTATAGCTTTCTCTAGCGTGAGCTCTGCGCCTTGGCTGAGTAGCTTTTCTCGGACGTGTGGCGAGTTAGTGGCAAATACAATGCGATCCCTGACCATTTCATCTGTATTTGGGTACCCACAGTCTTTAGCAAGTAGTTTCAGTTCCGTAATAAACTGTTCAAATGTCTCATTTTCACCCTGCATCTTTTCATGAAACTTATATCGGGCGTAGATTGGGTTAGCTTTCGGTATGATGTAATCAGTGTACTTATCGTAGTACGTCTGAAGCTTTCGGGAGTCGTCTGCGGTGAGCGTCCACGTGTTGTAGACGTCCCGTCCTTTCTCACCGACCCATAGAAGAAGGTAGCTGCATTTCTCTGCCTCCTCCTTCCCCT